GCGCTCTCAGCACTGCCCGTTTGTTGGGATATTTTAAGTGACGTTCTATTGATTCATAGATTCTTGTTTTCATCAATGGCTTCTGTGAGCATGTACCTTCAATTCTCATTGGTGACTTTTTTTCCCCACCATGGCTCTGAAATAGGCAACCAGCTTGCTTGCTGATTGACCGAGCCAGTGGCTGCTTTTTTAAAGTCCATATTCTAGGACTCTTAAGTTCCTGAAGGTGACAAGCTTCATACTAAGGGTTCAGTTCCTGGTAAATACTTTTACTTTGAGTGGTAACTACATCTCTTATTCCTTGGGATAGCAATACTACAGCCCACACGATGTTTCTATCTTTAGGCTATGCATGCCTAAGTATTTAAGAGCATAAGGTCTGCAAGCTATTACACATGGTTCAGCTAAAGGAGAAATATAGGGGAGAGAGAAAGCAGGCATGGCAAAATGTTAACACTTATTATTGAGTATAGACAGAAACTTTGCAATAGTCACTATGCCACTCTAAATTATTCTAATAATTTTCAGAATAATATGTTCCAGATTCTGCCTAATACAGATCTCAATCTCTAATGCCCCTGTTGGTTACTGCATCATACAACTCTGCGTGCTACTTTGAATTCCTTCTTTATTTCAGGTATCAGAGGATAGCTCTCTTTTTCAGTGGCTGTTTGTCCAGTGTTTATTCTCCATGTCTCAGGGGATGGGTTTTCTACACCAACTCAGGGTTGTTTTCCTTTGGTATAACTAAAGGTCCATCCATGCTATATTTTGTCTAGAATTAATTCCTTCACCTTTCCTGAGGGAATTATATTTTGAAAACAAATTCTGGCATCAGTTTGTTTTCACTTTTTCAAAATTATTCAAACTTTTTTCACTTGCTTTATGTACTGAATGTTGCTAGCAAAGTCCTATGTCAGTCTGATATTAGAGGCTTTGTAGATCACCTTTTTTTTCCTTTTTGTCTTTTCATTTACTTCCTAGAATCTTACAGCATAGCTGATTTATCCTTGAAATTCTTACAGTTCATTAGGTTGTGCCAAGAAGAATATTTCTCTTAAATATTGTTATCTGGCACTTACTGGGTCCTTGGCTCTGAAGCACAAGTTTGTTTTCCTCTTCTGTTCCTTTTGGAAATATTTTCCCTATTGCACATAGAAAAATATGGGGTGCACGTGCATGTGTGTGTGTGTTTCAAATAGAATATTTCTACAAACTTTAAAGCCTCATGTATTTACACATTCCACTAACAACTTTAGGGAGCTTGCAGCAAGTACAGTGAAATAATAAAGTGGGCTGTACTATAGTATAAGGCTTTGTCAAAATTCATGAGATTAGGATCAAGATCCGCGCAAACTGATTTCTATGAGGTAGAGTCCAGTTTTATATCCACACTTCCAATTACTCATTATTTTGGCACCAGCCAATCCCCCTTTTCCATACTCTCCAAGGCTTGATAATTTGCTGTCATGTCTCCATAGAACTCACAGATCATACTCAGTAGTCATCTGGTTTCTTGGGGAAGTAACAAGCTATATCTCAAGATCAGGAAAAACCTGGAAGGAACAGGAACAACTTGAGATCAGGATCAGGAAGGCACATAGGCAAGGTCTGGAAGGGTCCTTGAAGTGGAGAGCATAATCCTACCTTCAGTAGAACCAACCTAGCTAGCTGTCATAGCAAAAGGGCTCATGAGCAAAATAATTCTAAAATTATTCTCAGCTAGTGACTAGCAGGTGTAGCTTTTCTGCTGGGCAGCTGCCTTCTCTGCCAGGTGGGCTCCCCAAATTGTTTTCTTTGCTGGTCCGCTCCCTCCTTTCCTGGACAGATTCCTCTGCTGTAAGCCTCTCTGCCATTACATTTCCTGCTGTCAACACCACTCCCATCATCCTCTCCACTGCTAAATGGCCCACTTCAAAACCAATAAATTATCTTGCTCAGCTCTCTGCCATCAAGGCCTCTCCATTGTTGGCTCTGCACTATTGGCCCCTCCACCACTAACTGGCTCAGTTTACATCTAGTGTAGCAACTTGCTGATACACTGTTAGTTGTTCTTTGCCTCTGTTACCTGTTCTTTGCCCTCAGCTCTCTCTGCTATCAGGTTCACTACTGTTGGCCTCTCTGCCATTAATGGGTGTAGCAGCTGCAGGACCGCTTGAGTCCACAAGTTTCTGCTTCTCTGCCAGGTCTCTCAGATGTGTGTGTGTGTGTGTGTGTGTGTGTGTGTGTGTGTGTGTTTAACTAGGCCTGGGCATAACCTCCATGTCCCAAAGGACACATTTTTCATCCTGATTCTTGTCCAATAGGAAGGCTTGAAAACCTCTGCTTTTCAGGCCTGTATATACACAAGCAAGCCTTGAATATCTAACTTACAAACAACTCCTGCTTGCCTTGTAAACGTTTTCTAATCACCAATGAAAGAGAGAGGAATAAACCCAGTGTTTTCACTATTTGTCAGATTCGGAACAGTACTAGGAATGAGAAAAATTCTAGGCTGAAGCACTGTAATAGGAGACTTAGCAGACAGAGTGAGCCCTTTCAAGAGCCTGATACATGAGATTGGACTCTTGGCAGGACTTCAAGACAGCAATATACATTGCAAGCAGCACAGGCAGCCACTTTGCATGGAGCAGTGCTGCTTTGGCCTATGCTCAAAATCCAATGGTAAGAGAGTTAGTTGTTATGCAATGTGTATGTTGCCCTTCCGTAGCAAGGCTTCAACCCATAAATTTCCATTCCAGCTATCTTTCTAATTCACCATAACTTTAAAAGTGGATTCTGTTCTAAGGATGCTTGCTTGGTTGTGCCTTGAAGTGGTGTGTTAGACAGGGTTCTCTAGAGCGATAAAACCAGATTGCTAATAATTTTATATATATAGATAGGTAACACAAGAAATAAACAGTTAAATTATAAAGCAATTCGATAGATAGATAGATAGATAGATAGATAGATAGATAGATAGATAGATAACACAAGAAATAAAGTTAAATTATAAAGCAGTACAAATGGCTCAGTACAATTTAAATGTGTTAGACAGTTGTGAGACACTGACAGTCCTTCAATTCTTGAGGACCGCCAGGTAGTCCTTTGTAGAGCAATTCAGGCTATCCTAGCACAGGCAGCAAACAGCAAGGCAGGTCACCAACAGTCAGTCCCCAGCTCAAGAGATGTAAATTCCAATGGTGTGGCTTGCTAAGCAGGTCTTGAAGGAACCTCAAATTACAGCAACACAGTCGACAGGTTAGGTGTCCCACAGGTAGTGTCGCTTGCAAATTGAGGCACAGAACAAGCAAGCTAGTCGCACACTGGTCCGATGATCAAAGAGCAAGAAACAAGAAAGGCGAGGCTCACTACGCCATTTATCTCTCTGCCCTTCAGTTAATCCCATGTGTTTATCAGCCAGGATAGCACAATAAACTAACTACTTCAAGTGGGCAGAACCAATGTGAAGCCTTGACAAAAATCTGAAAGACAAAGATAGGAAGAGATCTTGTTAGTAGCTTGGAGGCTACCTTTGCCAGTGCTCCTCAGTTACAAAGGGGTAGTGGCACTCACTGAACAGATGAGAGTTCTACCAATCCTCCTTTATCAAAGTCAATTAACTCTTTTACAAAAGAAACAAATGCTCTGGGGTGGAAAGCCTACTGAGAGATATTTAAATTGCTGTTCTAAAAATTAAGGCAAAGGTAGCAACACCTCAGGGCTAACGGGATATTTCCCAAGCTGTTTCTCGAAATAACTTTAAAGCAAAAGTTTACATAAAGAATCTTGTTGCACCACACAAGAATTTAATCAGAACCCTAGGAAAATCAGTCTGTTATCAGGATCAGAATGGTAACTATATATAACTTTTAAATTTGGTTCTCAGCTTCATGGTTGGTAAATAAATCAGTCTAATTCAATGAATAATTTCGTTTGGCTATTTTTAAAAATAATTGTTTTTCACTTATGCTAGATATATTTGTTTCTTTGTGGGGGAGTAGGGAGAAAGTAAAAAAGGGAGTTACCTGATAATTTATACTATAATAATAAATAATAAATTACTTTATATATATGAAAGGAACATTGGTGGTATAATGGTTATGCATTTGGACTGATAACTGCAAAGTCAGCTGTTTGAAACCACCAGCCACTCCTCAGGAGAACAACAGGCTTTCTACTCCTTTAAAAAGTTAGTCTCGGACACTCACAGGTGCAGTTTTACGCTGTCTTACAGGGTTGCTATGAGTTGACATCAACTTGATCACAGTGAGTTTGGGTTTATTTCTTTTGGGAGGGAGGTTTTTATTTCCTTATAAATCATTTTATTGGGGGCTCTTACAGCTCTTGAAACAGTCCATATACCAATTGGATCAAGCACATTTTTCATGTATATTGATAATATCACTAATTATTTTTGTATTGTTATTATAATCACTGTTCATATTTTTTAAGACTATGAATATGTGTTTGAGCCTATTTGTGTTTGTGAAAAATAGGGAGATTGATTTTTATTGTACATGTTATGAACCTGTTTTTAATTGTGACTACCTTTCAGTTGGTCAGTTTTCAGTAAATAGAGGCATATCTCTTTGACACCTGGAAAGTATTCTATTGAATGGTATATTTATTTCCTTAAACCGTGGGAACAAAGTTTCACAAGTTATATGCCTTAAAATAACCGAAATTTATTATCTCACAGTTCTGGAAAGCAGAAATCTGAAGTTAGAGTGTCAGCTGTAATTTAACATTCTGAGGATACCGAAGGAAAATTTTTTCCATTCTCATAGCTTCTGATGAGGGCCTGAAGTCGTAGGTGTTCCTCAGCATGTTGCTGTATCACCCAATCTCAGTGTCTGTTTTCCTTCTGTGTTTTCACTTTTAAGGAGATTATAATATTGGATTAGAACCCTATCTCACCATTTACCATCTCCACCTACTGATTCCAATATGATCTCAAGTTAATATCTTGACTGAATTTCAAAACCTGATCAAATGCAGTTTCAAGGGTACAAACCCAAATTCAGTTTCAGGGGTTAAGACCATATATTTTTAGAGAGATACAATTCAGGTCATAACATGATGGTAATACAGTGATACAATGTAATGATTAAAATATTTACAGATCCTAAAAAGTGAACAGTTAACAATATAAAAACACAATTGGAAAAAGGCAAGAACTATGAATTGAAAATCTACAAAAGAATTTTTACAAAACTATTCAATGTCACTATAATCATGAAATTCAGATTCAGTGAGATACCATTGTATCCTCATCCAACTTAAAATACCAGCCTATTTATTCCTAGCACGTCATCTTGTTTTTGTTGTTTTATAATTCTTATTATTCCTTAATATTTTCTTCTATATTTGATGACTTGGTCATTGCCAGTATCCTCCTACTAGCATATAAGCCTTAAGAGAATACAATCCCTTTCAGACTTATTTCCTGCTCTCCCATGGTCGTGATTTTTGCGTCGTGTGTGGTGCACACCATCCAAACATTAAGTTGGTTTATTGCATCATTTTTATTACTAGAACTTAGATGATTCCCAGAGCAGCACCACTGAGATTATGTTTCATGGAGATTTTAGGGAAACAATGTTTTTATATTGTTGGGTTTTTAAATTTTGTGTTTTTATTATTTTGCTTTCAAGTAAAAGCCTTCTGCATTTCTCCATGATAATTTACCTCAAATACTCTGGTGGCTTGAACTGGGAGTTTGAATTAGTAATGATACATGGAAGGAAACTATATGAAATGCTCTTCTCTCTGAAGACAAGCTTTGTTACTAGATAAAGCCTGCCACCTCCCTCTATTGGCAGAGCTTCCCTTTGAATGTCTAAGTTCACCTACTAATAATTTGGGGACCCTTACCAATCCAGGCCTATTTTCTAACGTGCTTCTTAACACACACACCCCAATCCTTTCATAATAGTTTCAGAGCATACTTATTAGCTAAATTTGTACATTTTATTTTCATTTTTCTTTATTCCAGTGTAACAATATTTATATATTCTATTTTAGGATGGAAGAGCTTGCTTGAAACCACAGTTTCTGAAGGAGAAACTCAAGAAGTGATCATGAAAAAACTCCTAGATGGTGGTCCTTTTAAATTCAAGTTGGGGAAAACCTATGTATATGAGGGCAAGTTAGAAAAACAGCAAGGCAAAAATAAACCTTACAGGAAAGTCATAGTTACCTTCAAGAAAACCTATGTGAAGGAAAGAATTTATAAAGGTATTGAATTTGGGGAAAATGGTCTGAAGTCACCAATTATTAAAACACCCAAAGTCATATCCAGAGAAAAGAAACCATATTCACAGCAATACTCAACTCTACTTAAACAACTTGGAATCAACACATGGCGTAAATGTTATAAATGTAATGTCTGTGGGAAAGTCTTCCTCCACAGTTCTTCCCTGAGTAAGCATCAAAGAATTCATACCGGCGAGAAGCTCTATAAGTGTAAGGAATGTAGGAAAGCTTTCAGCCAAAGCTCATCCCTAACTCAACACCTGAGAGTTCACACTGGAGAAAAACCTTATATCTGTAATGAATGTGGGAAAGCCTTCAGTTTTACTACATCTCTTATTGGACATCAAAGAATGCATACTGGAGAAAGACCGTATAAATGCAAAGACTGCGGAAAAACCTTTAAAGGTAGTTCATCTCTTAATAATCACCAACGAATTCATACTGGAGAAAAGCCCTATAAGTGTAATGAATGTGGGCGAGCCTTTAGTCAGTGTTCATCTCTTATTCAACATCATAGAATCCATACTGGAGAGAAGCCTTATGAATGTAATCAGTGTGGAAAAGCCTTTACTTCAATATCACGGCTAAGTAGACATCATAGAATCCATACCGGAGAAAAGCCCTTTAGCTGCAACGAGTGTAGGAAAGTCTTTAGTTATCACTCAGCACTTATTATACATCAGAGAACTCACACTGGTGAGAAACCTTATTCATGTAAAGAATGTGGGAAAGCATTTAGCCAAAGCTCAGCTCTTATACAGCATCAGAGAATTCATACTGGAGAAAAGCCCTACAAATGTAATGAATGTGGAAAAGCCTTTTCCTGGATTTCACGGCTAAATATACATCATAGAATTCATACTGGAGAAAAACCATACCATTGTAAAGAATGTGGGAAAGCGTTCAGTTCCCACTCAGCAGTTAATACTCATCGGAAAATTCATAGTGGAGAAAAACCTTATAAATGTAATGACTGTGAAAAAGCCTTCAACCAAAGCTCAGCTCTAATTCAGCACCAGAGAATCCATACTGGAGAGAAACCATTTAATTGTAAAGTATGTGGGAAAGCTTTCAGACAAAGTTCATCCCTTCTGACACATAAGAGGATTCATACTGGAGAAAAGCCTTATAAATGTAAACAATGTGGGAAAGCTTTTAGTCAGAGTTCATCCCTTACTAATCACCAGAGGACTCATATTGGAGAGAAATTGTAAAACGAATGCATATGGAATAGCTTCCAACTGAAGTTCATTCTGTGCTGAATATTAGCAATTCATCTTAGGTATAAGTGATGAATCATTAATTTTGGAATAAATTTCAGGATTTAGATTTCATCAAACATCAGAGACTTTTTAACTCATATTACTGTGGCAATATAAGTAAAAACTAAAAAATAGTTTCTTATATCTAATAAATTTATTACTCTAATATGGAGAATTAGTCAAATGAAGGGTGGAAATATTATTTTCTTTTCTTTATGATAATGTATGATAATAGCCACCAGGTTACACAAACATCACTCAAAAGCATGCTGGTTTATTTTTAAAATGTACCCATAAAATTGACAGGTAAATATAGGAATCTATTTTTTTATTGAATTTTAAGTTTTATGCAAGCCAGTTGTACTTACCAGACTGTTCTCAAGAAAAAAATGTATGCAAGTGACCTTCTACCTCACTGTTAGTATAATTTGTTTTATTTGCTCTTTTCCATAGTATAAAAGAAAATTAAATATCTGCCTCTTGTTAAAACGTTTGGGTGTTTTTTTTTCTGTTTTCTAAGTCTTTACTTTGAAATTAGTTCCATAAATATGTACAGTCTTTTGAATTTTGTCTTGACTCTTTGCTATAAACTTTGAATCAGATTCAAATTTACTTTAAATCACAAAATGCATGGTGTTTCTTTATTATGCATAAAATGATTTTTTAAAACTCAGTAAAGAATATTCAGAAACTACTGAATTTGTAATTTATTGATTAAAACTCACTGCTTTCAAATCTATTCTGATTCACAAAGATCCTACAAAAAGTTTCCAAGACATTGTACATCCTATGGAAACACACAGTCTCTTCCTCCTCCCAAGAAGTAGCCTTTACAAAACACTGGGGGCGTGCAATGGAGCGGCAGGGAAGCAGAGCAGGGAGGTCCCAAGGGAAGACAAACGATGGATGCTGGGGCCAGGACGTGGCACCCCATTAGCCTCGTCTAGAAAATGC